CTTAACATTCTATAGGTTTGTAACTTTGAGAACTTTTCAGCCAGTGAGACTTATTGACCATGAGAATGAGCTAATGATAGAAATTACAGCATTTTCTTCCTTCAAAAGTTTCTACATAAGAGAGATACTTCTCTGCAAGGGTTTCCTTAGGTACAATCCTGGCTGAAGTGAGCAGGGGGAGGAAGGAGATATGAGTACAGATTTATGACTCCTAGTATTTTTTTTATTTTAAAAATTATTTTATTTTTAATATAGGGAATAAAGTATTTCCGTAATAGTATAAAAAAGATAATTACACATGAAACTGCAAATCCCATTACGTACAACTTGCTATTCCTTTTAAATATATAATAAAGTTATCATGTAAATTTCTTTTTCTTCTTTTTTATTTTCTTCCCTACTATGTTTTGATATTGTCTACCATTAGTCCGCCTTATGATGTAGTCACTTTTATAATCGGTCGTGATTTGTGTTTATCTGTCATGAATAAGCATTTTAGTCATGGAATATACAAGGTTTACATTTATAAGTGATAGGAGAAGGATGTGTATTCTGGGCTTGGCTATTTCTCATTGGTTCAGAAAGTAGTCATGATCCTCTCCGAGCATCATAGGATTTAGAGCTAGAAAGGACTTTGATGTCAACTATTCCATCCCCTTCATTTTACTCTGTATATCTCACCCAGAATAAAATTTACTTTTCTCCAGATGTTTGGATGGCCTGGTAAATTATCTGCATTGATATTCAAACTTTGATATACCTCTGAATCTCACTGGTACTTCTTATATAAGTAGAATGCCATTAGCATGAGGCAGTGTGGTGTAATGTGTACAGCATTGGATCATGGAGTCAGGAAGACCTGGCATTGAATTCTGCTTTATGCACTTACTAGATGTTTGATTCCATGCAAGTAATTTAGCTCCCTGGTCATCTCACTAGCTGCCTTGAAGATGAGCCAGAAAGTCTGGGAGGACTTCATCCTTTTTTTCAAAACTCTCCTAACCCCTGCCCCCCACCCAAAATCCATTAACTCCTGCCTTGACTACTCTGCCAAGGCCAGCCACCTTCCTGATTCACAAAGATCTCTTCTTCTCTTCACACCTTTCCAGTTCTCAAATCATAATCAAACCCTGTCATTGTCTCTGGAAAGGGCATGTCGGTCTATCCTTTGTGGTCTTACCAACCTAGCAACTTTTCAAGTCAAAATATCTAATCCGATGACCACCATTCCCTTCTATGTGTTACCTCCCCTTTTGGAATGCCAGCTCCTAGCTCCATACTGGTACTCACCATTCTGAAAAGTGGTTTGTTATTATGTAAATGAAATGGCTAAAATGTCCATATCCTTTGACCCAGAGATTACCCTGTTGGGCATATACTACAAGAAAGACATTGACAAAAATGTCTCTAAATAAACTAAAATATTTATAGCGACACTTTTTGTAGTAGCAAAGAATTGGAAATGAAGTAGAAGTCTGTCAACAGGGGAAATGACTTAACAAATTGTGTTACATGGATGCAATGGAATATTACTGATCTATCAGAAACAAGGAACATGATGAATACAGACAAGCAAGGAGAGAATTATGTGAACCAATGCAAAGTAAAGTAAGCAGAGACAAGAGAACAGCATATATCGGCTACAACAATGTAGAGGGAAAGGGCAACTACAAAACAATCGAAAGTGATTGTTATAAAATGACAAAGAACAAGCCTGGCCTCAAAGAAGAGATAGAAATGACAACTTTTCTCCCTTTCTTGCCCCCTTGGGGGAGGAAGGACATGGATATGGAAATTGCAAATGACATCCTACTTTTATGATGTGTTGATTGGTTTGGTGTATTTTTTCTTTTCTTCTTTTAGAAATTAGTTGTTATAAGAAATGGCTCTCTGGAAGAAGAGGGTGAGAGGTACAAGGGGAGATGTGGGTGATAGAAAATATGTCAATAAAAATCTATTTTTAACAAAAAAATGTAAGTTCCTAGAGGGCAAGAACTGTTTTTGCTTTCATATTTTTCTCTCTAGTGATTGGCACAGAGCTTGGCACATGGTAAATGCTTAATAAATACTTTTCATTCGTTCATTTATTCATTCATTTTATCTCTCTGCACCTCAGTTTTCTCATCTATAAAATGAGATGATTGTAATTGGTGTTTTTTGTCCAGCTCTAAATCTATAATCCTTTGACCGGCTAGGTTTCTGGCACATTTTTTATTTTCTGATTTGTTTCTCCTGGATTGTAGACAGAAATTTTCTCTCTTTTCTTTCCTTCCTTCTTTCCTTCCTTCCTTCCTTTCTTTTTCCTTCTTTCTTTCCTTTTCTCCTCTCCTCCCCCTTTCCATTTCTCTTTTTTTGCATTTCAAAAAGGTGGCTAAAATTTTAGTTCCTAAAAATGTTTGTTCTCCCCTCTCCTTCCCTCCTCTCGTCTCCTTTCCTCTACCCTTCTCTCCATTCAACTTGTGGTGTGTAATAGGCAGTTGGAGATATGGACTGGAAGTTAGGATAAAGGTGAGGGCTAGTTAGGTTGATCTAAGAATCATCAGCACAGAGACAACTGAATCCCTGAGAACTGATGAGATCATGAAGTGAGATAGCATGGAGAAGAGAAGAAAAAGAGACCCAGGAGAGAGCCTTGGGGAATGCTCATAGTTAGTGGATGTGATCTGAAGGAAGAACCAGCAGAAGAGAATGAGAATTGGTCAGAAAGATAGGAAAAAAAACCAGGACAGAAAATTGGCACAAAAACTCAGAGAGCAGAGAGCATCCAAAACAGAGTATTAGCTTGTATCAAAGGCTACAAAGGGGTCCAAAAGACTGTGGATTGAGAAAAGGCTGTTATGTTTGTCAATTAAGAGATCATTAGTAACTTTGGAAAGGGCTGTTTCAGTTGAATGATGAGGCTAGAAGCCAGACTACAGAGAGTTTGAAAGACATTAAGAATAGAGCAAGTAAAGGTACCATTTGTAAATGATTTACTCAGAGTCAGCAAGGATATAAGGATCACAGAAAGTGGAAGATATGAGCATGTTTGTAGACAGCAGGGAAGTAGCCAGTAGATAAAGACTGAAGAGTAGAGAGAATGGGGATAAAAAAGGGGGCAATTTGCTGGAGGAGATGTGATGCAATGGGAGCAAGGGTTCATGTGGAGGAGTTTGCTTTGGCAAGAAGGGTCACCTCTTCACACGAGAAGGGTGTAAAGAAGGAGACTCTAGGGAAAGGTATTTGAGTGATGTGAGATGCAGAAGGAAGCTTAGTGGTGGAAATCAATGAGATAATTTTATGTTAAGTACTTTATAAGATGTCAGCTATTATTAGTAGACTATACATTATGTTTACTATTTTATAGGTTATTGTAATTATTTCTATCTTTAAACTAACCGTACTCTCACCATCATTTATATACTGCTTTCAAGTTTGAAAAGCACTTTACCCGCACATCTCATCTGAGCCTCACAACAGCACAAAAATAGCACCCTGCAAGGCAGGTACTATTATTATCTTCATGTTATAGATGAGGAAACAGATGAGGTTAATAGAGGTTAAGTGACTTGTAAGGGTCACATAGCTAACATCTGAGTCTGTATCTTTCCTTTTCTATCCCTCTATCTACTAAACCACACTGCCTAATCATACCTCTTTTCTAGATGCCAAACATTTTCTGACTTTCATCTACTCATGGATACAATTAAGAATTTAGCAGCCACCTAGATAGGCAGAGGCAGCTCTTTACTTCTCACCCACGTTGAGGAAGGAAATATTAGGGAGGAAGAAATGAAGGAATGCTGGAAGGTTCTGTTCTATGGTCCCTCATAATAAGTTGCTGGGCAATGGCCCTAGGAACTCTTTTCAGGTGATTTGACTGGTCAATACACTCTTCGGCTTCCTGTGTGGTGGTGTTTGAAAACACAAGCATTTCTCTCTCTCTCTCTCTTCTCTCTCACTTTATATATTCTTTGTATTCCCATAGTACAATGTAAGTTTCTTGAGAGCAGGATCTGTTTCGTTTTTATAATTGCATATCCCTAGAGAATCTGGCACAGTGCCCATCACATAACTATTTATTGATTGAATACTTATTATACATATGCTATATCCTTCCTCACAGAATGCAAACTCCTTGAGGGCAAACACTATTTCTTTCTTTGTTTTGCCTCTGTATCCCTACCTCCCTAAGTATCTTCTCTGGGACATAGTAGGAACTTTAAATTTTTTGTTTAATTGAATTGATTGTGTAGTTAATTAATAGGTCATCTAGATCCTTCTGTTTTCCTTTCTCCAAATGCTTCTTTAGCATCTCCATATAATCAACCAGAAAGCATTTATTAGGGACCTACTAGGTACTGGGGGTGCAAAAAACAATATGAAATAGTCCCTACCTTCAAGGAGCTTATATTCTATCCAGGGAAACTCTGTGTGTGTGAGTGAGTGTGTGTGTGTATGTGTGTGTATAGATAGATAGATAGTTATAGATATAGATATACACTCACATGCACACATATACACTTAGGTCAGAGATAGAAATAAAATCTCTCAGAGTCCTTTTTTTTGTTTGTTTGTCAGCTCCCTCAGAGAATGAGTGAAATAGGTATTTTATTTTATTTTATCTTATTTTATTTTAGGCTAACAAGATGTGAGGGATCTCTGTGAATTTCCTTTATCTATATAAACACCACTCCCCAAATACCCAATAGGGATAAGGTCAGGCCTGTACCTGTGATTCCGTTGATTGGAATGAACTCTCGAATGAGAAAAATCCCCCTAGCAATGCAGGTCAGCACATTCTATACTAAGAGAATTGCCTTTAGCCCCGAGAGATTAAGTGATTTTTGTCCAGGGTCACAAGTGATATTGTCAAAAGTGATATTTGAATACAGGTCTTCCTTCCTGCCTCAACATTCTGAATGATTGGGAGCTGACTGTCAGGGAAAGGTTTACCATGCTCCGGTGACCATTGGTGTCTTGTGCTGATCTCTGCTTTTTTGCACTGCTTCCTTGCCCAGCCAAAACTGTCATCTTGGAAGATTACCTGGCGGACCCTGTGGGTATGAGGCGCTACAATGTGGACCCCTCCAACTCGGCCTTCAACTGCACAGGTTCTTCCTCTTCCTCCTCCTTGTGCTCTGGGAGGCTGAGCTCTGGAGAAGGAGGCCTTGGGAGAGGCCTCACTACCTCTTCCTGCAGTCATCGCTCTGGCCCTGTGTCCTCCTGTGGCCCTTCAACTGTTGGTCTGAGGCACCAGACGTCCAGCCTCCTGAGGAATGGCACTTATTCGGAAGGAAACAAAAGTGGTAACGTAATGCAACCCCATGGATCTCACCCTTGCGTAACAGTTGGAGGTCAGGGCTGAGGGGTTGTGCTCACAGGACTCATGAGAAGCCAATACAATTGATAATTTCCCTGCGAAGTACAACATGGGGAGAGAGATCTCACCTGGTGCTAGGCGGCCTTGGCCCTATTCCTTTACTGCCTCCCACATCCCTGCCTGTATCCTTTAAGGCAGAATCTCACATTGCTCTTATCCTTGGCTCCCAGACCACCAGATCTCTGTAGATTGCATACTTATATAGGCAGGCAGGATCAAAAATGCTCTCGTATGTTTACTTTGCTCTACCCAGCACACATGGGCCATCTCCAAAAGCCTCCCCCAGGCTCCAATCTGCTTCATCACTCAGCCAGCTCCTTGTGGTAGTGAGGGTAGAGATGCAGGGAGTGATGGGAGCCAGCTTTTCAAGGGGGTGGCAGATCTGGGCTGTTGAAGGAACTAGGACCCTTCTGTCAATTTGGTGGTTTATGCCATAAGATTATAAACCCTGCCCCAAGCCCCTCCCTTGGAATGACTCTCCAGGCTAGAATGAAGGGATGAGCACTCTGTCTTGGATGTCATTTTCCAAAGGGAGGAGTCTCTTCCTATTTTATATTTGGAAGGATGGTAGGACTTAGGGAAAAAATTAACTTTGGTGCCCTCCCCTCTCCTTTTCTATAATAATAATAGTAATAATAATAAATGATAGCTAGCATTTATATAGAGCTTTAAGGCTTGCAAAGTTTGTTTCAAGTATTACCTTATTTTATCCTCACAAGAACCCTAGGTGGTAAGTGTTATCTCCCTTCCAAACTCCTGGGTTCTCCTCTCCTTCCTGGTAAGAGATCATTCTTGTCATGTTGCCTTCTGGTTGTCCATAACATCAGTTCTGAGGTTGTGATTGTAGTGTCCCCAGACCTGTTCTCTTCACAAGTGCCTTATCCTATCAAATTTGTCCTTATTCTTATTCTCCCAGCTTCTGTTAAGAGGAAAATAATTCTATTATAATAATTAAATGAACTCATCCTCTTTCTTTAATTCTACAAGGCACAGCTCTAGAGTTGGCTGCTTAAAGTGCCAATGATAGAGCCTGTGGGATTCTGGGAACTTTGAGCTTTTGTGGTGATACATACTTGATTGGTCACAACATAAACACCCACTTGCCAGGGAGATTGGCATTTTCTGGCATGGACAATATGGGCATTTATAAATCATATTATTATAATATGTTCTTCTTTAGACCTCCTTGTATTTTATTCCCTAGGAGGCAGCCTTCTTGACCTATTCTTAGATCAGGCATTACTATTAAAAAGCAGAACCAGAGCCAAGATGCAGTTTGTACTAGGGCCATATTAACGACTTGGCTGAGTTGGGAGTCCAGTAAGGAGGCGTGACCGTGGCCATACGGTTATAAGATAAGTGGCTGGAAAGAAAAGGAGAGATAAAGAAATTAGATCTGATTTTGTGGGAATTTTAAAAGAAATTTACAAGGATTTAATTTGAATTAACAACTGAATTTAAAAAAATCTTTTCCTATATGAAGTCTCCCAACCCAGAAGGCAGGGACTAGATTACTGAGAGTTTGCACCTAAATTAGGAATGAGAGAGAATTAATGGAAGAGGACTAAGCTGTGCTTTGCTCAGGAATGGGCTTGGAACTAGCAATGGTTTAGTTTGCAACACTCTGGTAGGATTGGGGGATGGGACAGGCATGGATTTTGAGTATGCATTGGAAACTAAAGTCTGCCTTAAAAAAAACCAAAACTTCAATATATCTGCATAAGATCAATGCAGAAGAGAACATTATTAGTTATCTTGTCTCATTCCTTCATTTTTTTTAGAACAAGAAACCTGCAGAGGCTAGGTGACTTGCCCAAGGTCGCTTGGATAGACTTGGGATTTGAATTCCAGACTTTTGATTCCAAATATATAATTTATGGTGGGAGAGAGCACCAACAAATAGGGGGATGAGGAGGCACACAAGCTAAGCCTTGAAGGAAGAGAAGGATTCTGAGAGGTGGAGGTGGGCAGGGAGTGCATTTTGGACATGAGGGACATTCCATGAACGTGGATAGTTTGAATGAAACAAAGAGTACATGAATATAAGAAAACCTAGAAAGGTAGTCTGGAGTCAAATTGTGATGGGCTTTCATTGTCAAGAAGCATTGTGCTTTATCTTAGCTATTATAGAGAGCCGTTGAGGATCCTTGAGCAGGATAGTGGCGTGGTCAGATTTGTGGTTTAAGAAAATTATTTTGGCAGCGGTAGGATAGAATGGAAAGGGGAGAGACTAAAAGTTGAGAGACCATTTAGGAGGTTGTTGGCTCTTAGCATGATGAATACCAACAACTCTAGCTAAATGAAGAGGTCTTATCATTTACATTCCATATGGCTTTTCTTTCAACCTGCCCATACTATCCTTGCATGAATCAATCAATCAATAAGCATTTATATTAAGTGCCTATTATGTATCAAGTGTCGAGCTAGGTGAGATGAAGACAAAAATGAAACAATCCCTGTCCTCAATCAAACTTTTGACAATACTATATTTTTTCTCACTAAGGTCTCATCAGTCACTAAACAGCTTGGCTCCTCTGAGTGGTGCTGAAGTCACTCACACGAAGTCATGTCATTCTAAAAATCACACCATGAATGAAAACACTGAGTTATCTCTAGGAATAGTAGTGACTTTGTCATAAACTTGGGGAAGACTCCCAGACACATCTCTTTCCCCATGGTGTAAATTGAAAACATGTATCTTATTCAGTCCTGATAACTGTGTAGAAGGCCATGTGCAGATGGCAAGAATCCAATGTCATGAAGAACCACTCAGCTTTGTCCCTCCAGTGAATAACTTGGTCTGTCTTCCTGCTATCTTGATGCACGTGACTGGGCTTATCTGTCACACTTGTCAGTGTATTGTGAAGAGCGTGTGTTCATGGCCCACGCTTCCCTGGTTTTTGCTTTGGTATTCAGGTGAAGAAATTCTCCGAGAGTGTGTTCCTATCTTTCAGCCAAGAGAGAATTGCTGAGAAATATGAGATTTCAAAGAACTAAAACTTCCTGACTTTTGCATTTACCAGTAGACTTCGAAGGATTCTCATCCATAATTAGATCCAAACTTCAGTGTTTAAAATACAGAAACAGGGTAAATCAGATCTTAGTGCAGCCTGAATTTTTATTGCGTATTATCATTTTGCTGGGTTACAGTTTGGAGTTGTCTTGGGAAAGAATTGTGAGTTTGAATGCTCAATACTTATAAAGCTGTCATATCCTGAATCACCAAATGGCAAAATTCTATATCTTCAGTGGATCTTTGCATCACCCAAATGAATTGTCATGGTTAGGTTTATCGTGTTATAACAACAAGTGACATTTTTATAGGTTTTAAAGTTTGCAAGGGATGGGGGCTTACATATGCTATCGAATCCAATCCCTTCTCTTACTCTTTTCTCCTCTTCTCTTCTCCTGTCTTCTTCTATCCTCTCCTCCTCTTCCTCCTCTTGCTCTCCCCTTCTTCCCCTTCCTTTCCCTCTTTCTCTCTCCTCTCATTCATTTAGGAAGTGAACAAGCATTTATTAAAACCTTACCATGTACCAGACACTGTGCTAGGCTTTGGGGATACAAAACCAAAAGTCTATATCCTCAAGAAGCTTCCTTTCCGTTTCCTCTCTCTCCTTCTTTTCCTCTGTCTCTCTTAGTATGCATGCATATATGCACATTCATAGTCTTTGCTCGTACTTCTCCTATGACCTATCCCATTCTGTCTTATTTGAGTACACGTTTTGCCTCTTCTACTAGATTGCAAGCTCCTTAAAGGCAGGGGTTGAAGTTTTGTCCAAGCTTTCTTTCCCCACTGCACCCAGTCCATCGTCCTTTGTAGTAAATAGTCAATATATCTGTGTTGATGTAGTAAATAGTCAACATGTCTGTGTTGAACTGAATTGAATGGAGCATCCAGTATGATAATAAGATAAGGGAAATTATTCTATAAGTCCCCCTAAATATTAATATCATGACTTCATAGTCACAATTCATATCCACGTCCATATCCCCACTACAGGAGTGGCTGTGTGTAAGCATGCCTAAGAAAAGTTTTTCTCTGTATTTCAGCAGAATCTCATCTGCTAATTTAGTGACAGGCCAACTAACTCATGGACCTTGTTATATTATATGTTCATGTAAGTGCATGGTAATAGGGAACTTTCCATACTGGTTTGTCTTACAAACATGTCCTGGGTCACTATTTTCTAACTTCAAGAAAAATGAAGCATCTTTATGGTGTTTCTACATCTTCAACACAAGATAAAAGAGACAACTAGGAAGAACAATTAGCAAATTCAAATGTTAAAGTTGGCTAAATAATCTTTTATTACTTGTTTATAGATGTAGCATTTAAATACCTGGCTAAACTGGTCTCCTGGCTAAAAAATTCAGCAGTGTAAAATTCAAATATACTTGTGGAAATTTAAGCATATTTACATTTAAACACCATCTCTTCCTTATTTTAATAGAGGTAGGACATCTAATCTGAAATAAACAATCAATTAGCTTTGCCAAGTAAAGAATATGAAGCCATGAATTTGCTAATCGTTTTTTCCTACGGTATTAGCTCGTGTTCAGTGAAATTTGTATAATCAAGAGATGTGGCTAAGGAGATTTTACTTTTAGGAAATGTCTTTCCCTATGCAAACAAAACAAATGCAAAATTTTCTCATCACCATCATCATCATCACTTTTTCAAATTATTAGCTCTTGCCCATAGATTTTGGGAGCCTTGATATTTCCCTCCTATCTAAAAATGTAACCCTTTTCTATGAATCATTCTAAGGATTTTCCTCCCTTATTCCCTCCCTTCCCCACCCCATAGCAATGCTTTACTTTAATCCATAATGTGATAGGACTATTATGCAACTTCTACCAAAAAGAAAAAAAAAAAAGAAGTAGGACATAATACTGCTGTAAATATATAGCATTCCCATTGTA